TTTGTCAAAATATGTTTTCAGATCCTAAGCAATTTTCTTCAATAGATTATAGTTACACTGAAGTTTGAAATGAGTGAATAACTAATAATATAATACATATTTACAAGGCAGAACTTTGTAGTGATTCCATATAAACCTAAGGAAACCTAAGTCAAGCTGTATTCATGAAAAAATAGAGTTTACATAGGTCCTGCTAAACAAAATTTAACAACGATATATAAAGTCGAAAATGATTTGTAATTAATTTTTTATGAAAACTTGTTTGTTCGGATGCGTGTTTATATGTGTGGATTGCAAAAAGACTGAGGTATAAAAGAATCGGTTTAAAGGAAATTACAATAATTCTTGAATAAATTTCATGGGATCGTTACTTTTACTGCCAATATTCTCTAATCTGAATCATTTTCAAATGTTTCTACAGACAAAATACGTTGGGTAATTCTCAATAAATTGAAGATTAGGTTTGATATGTCCAGTAGGTTTCAAAGTTATTTACATAGCGCAAGAACGTTTTTTATGAAGGCAAGATGCAGTCTAGTTATCATCTTCTAGGTGTAAAATTTAACAGCTAGACTCAGAAACTTCTGTCTCAGACAATACCAAATCTTTAGGAACGTTAGCCAAATATTACCTAAACTCCAAGTAATTTTTCTCAAAAATCACCCTAACTGTCGAGAACCTTTCACCCACATTAAGCTTGATAATCCACTTTATTTAACTTAACTTTATTATGCTTTACTTTACTAACTAAAAGCGACATTATTTCTTAAATGTTGCCACTTGTATCTTATTTAAATTAAACTTTGTCAAATATTAGGCGGCATTTTTTTATAGATTACGAAGGGAAAATTAATAAAGGTACCCTAGAGCGACAATGTAGCGCGTTCTGTCGTTCAATAAATTCTACTTTACTGTCAGTTCTAGGCAACAGCTTTAGAGCTAATACTCAAACTAGGCAGACTTATGAACCGATAGGCAGATATCTGACGGGCATAGTCCAAGCATGTATGAGAAGTAGAAGTTTGTGTCTGAGGTTGTGGTGGATGCACACGAGATGCATTAGCCATCAGATACTAATCCCGGCGATGGTGCTGAAAAAAAAAGAATTTGGTTGAGGGCATTGTTGATGTCGAGCCGAAATTATTCTTTCTATAAATAATTCAGCACAAATCTGAAGTTAGAGCCATTTTCGCTCAATCTAAGATTGCTTTAATAGCAAATAGTTGTGTTGAGCTATCCTAATTTCAGCACCACGGGCTGGCCCGTTGAAAATACAGTCTGTATTTTACAAATTGCTATTCACAATCAACTACACGTGTAGCATCGAAAAAATGCAGATAAAGAAAGAGAAACGATAAAATAGGAAATTGTGGCTAAATTTCACCCAGACTTCAACATTTCTCGTATTGGTAACTTGCATTTTAATAATATTTGGCTTGGTATGTTAGTAATAGGCCTGTTTGTATAGCTGAAGACTCCTTTATATGTCAAGGGTGAATGGCCCACTTAGACTAGATAGGTAGCTATGGAATGCTTAAATTATCGATGTTAGTCAAGCAGGAATTGATAAGTGGTTGATATAACTTATACTGAAGTGAACTAACATATATTATGACCTAGACTACTAGTACCAAGAATACCTTGTCGTCTTAATGTAAATGAACATTAAAATTCCAGGCAAACCGATACAAATGTACACCTTTAAACACGACTTAACCTAAACCTCTCTAGCACCATGTTGCTTTGGATATCCAGGACAACGAAATTAATGAATACAACTATTTGTTCTGCCTGTGGCCCTATCAACGCTAGGATAGACCGAATTTTCGACTCAGCACCTGGAGCATGTGTGCAAAACTGTGGGCACGCCCTGTTTTGAAGGTCACATCAGTGCAACTCACTCGCAATACGGTCAGATGATATGGAACCCTCTTTCTCCACACGTACCAAGTTCACATCTTGTCCGGCTTGCTAAAATCAAATAGGCAAGTTTGAACCTGGATTAAAAAGGGCTGGGAGCATCAAAAGCAGGGCTTCATTTCAATTACGACAAAGATACGACAAATGATGCAGATTCTCATACTGGCCTAGGAGGTACCAGTACTTTTTGCCTGTCTCATTGGGCTGTTTCGGCTCATTGGCTCATTAAATGCATCTGCAGACAAAGTATTTGGACAATCAGAAATAACCATAGTCACTTCTGTAGATAGTTAAGTAGGCTATTAGATACCCGGGCAATATGGATGCCATATGCGGGTAAGTAGGTTATCGAGAAAGAGAGAGCTCGATAGAGTGATCGAGGTGAAGAAAACAAGTGGATAGAGAGCTGGAAATAAAGAGAGTACATGAACGAGAGAGACATGCAGAAGTGGATAGAAAGACAGAAAACAAGACGAAACAAGCAAGAATCATATTGGCAGATGTGCAAAGTGAAGTTTCCGCAACGTGCAGACACTTGACCGGCGCAATCACCTGTCAGATGATTTGCCTTACTTAGCTGGCCGCACTCAAATTGTGTATTGTCGTCCATTCTCATCCGTCGCAATCTCAGGACTTGTAATACATCCGTTCGTGGAGTTGCTCTGTTTTTTTATTGAACCACAACTGATTATACCATACATTAACATGCATGTGCCAGTGTAGCCCGTTTGTATCATTGACAACCGGTAAGAAGGAGATCTGTTACTGGGATCTTTGTTTGGCTGAACCCTAACCGTTGTGCCACAGCCCATCTTCACCGTCCAGAAAGAGACGGAACAAGGCAAACAGTCTACCAGCCAGCAAGTCAGTCGGGCATCTTGACGTCTAGACTGTTGGCCAGCCAGTTAGTTAGTCGTCATGACTGCAATCACGACCTGCCTGAACGGCAACATGTCATCTCACCACCAGAAAGACACCACACTGACAAAGATCTTCGTCGGCGGTCTGCCTTATCACACAACGGATGAAAGTTTGCGTCAGTTCTTCGAGCATTTCGGCTCCATAGAGGAAGCCGTTGTTATCACGGACCGGCACACAGGCAAAAGCAGAGGCTATGGATTTGTAAGTAGAAGCAAGCAACCATAAGATGCTCACACCTTCATTGTTTGTTGAGATCTCGGTTCCTCTGATTCGATGTTAGCTTTTTTTAATGCATACACTTCTTTAGAGCATAAAATGGAAATGACCAACAATACGATGGCACAACAAAGGTACAATATTTTGTATCCTTTATCCACCCCCTAGCTTACCTTTGCACTAGTCTGATGGGCCCTCTTAGATACGATTTCGGTGGTCTCGGTCTTCGTCTATAACTAATCGCGGTTCCAACAATCCAGTTAATGACACAAGGAGGGCTTTAAGCCAACTGAGCCTTACGTAGGCGGCAATATTCTTTCGTCATTGCATTAAAAAGTGTGGGAAAACTCCCAGTGTCGTCACCTTGCCTTTGATGTCAAGACTATTAGCGGACTTATGTCTTACTAGTGGGTCAGGGACTAGTTTAGTTCTGAGAATGTACCATTCCGACTGTCTCATGTTAGAAAATATCATGAATACTATACGATATAGAAAGCAGAGCAGGGTATGTTACCTGTCGCTCCGACTAAGTTGTGTATATAACCAATGCTATACCCCTTTGGAACAGAGGTATTCGAATGATGTTTACGCAATGATAAACGGTTTTCACAAGATGAAACAAAGTGTAGGCTGGAGATAACGATGAGTTTCTGAAGTAGATCCATCTTATCGTAGAGGTTTTCGTCATCACGACTGACATAGAAGGATATAATATTTATTGGGAAACAATCTTTATACAAAGAGGAAATAAGAAATTTCTCAATAGTTGTCCGAGAAATGAGGATTAATTGTGATTTTAATTTTTCATATGAGGAACAGAAGATTTCAATTAGAAAATCTTTACTGTGACTACATATTAGTTATAATGCGAACCTACAAAGCCTGTTTTAAATGGACGAAGTTTTAGAGACTATGGGTAATTCTTGAGTAAGAATTTTTAAGAAGAATTACCCAACCTAACTTTGGGTTGGACGAAGCCTGGCCTGCCCTTAAGGTCACATCCTCTTGGCACCCGTGGGAGCTTAATGGAATCAGGTGGTAGCATCGCCATGATACTCATGACCTGGTATCGAATCGCACTGAGGGTGTTGCTGAAAACTAGTCGAGGTCGAAACGGCAGTCCAGCCTTAGCGACATTGGGTGAATAAGTTCATAACAAAGAATATAGTTGCCCCAAAATGTCTTGAATTACGTAATTGTTGGGCTTACTTCCATTTCGAGTTAAGGTGTTGGGGGAAGAGATTCGAAGTTCGGTTCCACCAGAAGACGACGGCGGATTCTTCTTCACTAACTGTAGATTTTATTTACTGTAAAATTCAGACTAACGCTATTTCCGAGATAATCTCCTTCAATTCCGATGAAAAGGAGATTACCTCGGAAATAGCGTTAGTCTGAATTTTCCAGTAAATAAAATCAACAGTTAGTCAAGAGGAATCCGCCATCGTCTTCTGGTGGAACTGAACTTCGAATCTCTTCACCCAAAACCTTCACTGGAAATGGAAGTAAGCCCAACAATTATGAAACATGAAAATCCTTGAAACCCAACTTTTCTTTGCATGAATTATGTAAAACCAATTAATGAAATCATAATAAACTTGCATATATTCAGATACGAAATAGACTTGTCAAGAATGAGCATATCTGACGTATTAAGCAGAGATATAAGAGTACTTAGAAGCTATGTGGGGCAAGATGGGTCGTAATTAATTTCCCTTAAGAATAAACAAAATCAATTTGCTCAAATGACGCATCGAACATCCTAGGCAAGCTATGGCTACCATAGGTGAGTACAATTGAAAGACAGAATTGGAATCAAACTGAAATTTCTCACGAAATTTGAAGTATAATGTAGTCACAAATTCATGGAAGGAGGAGCTTGCAAATTATAGTATTTGTGCGCAAAAGCATATGCGCATAAAGTATACTAAAGTGATACTGAATATTGTCCGACACTGCTCTTAAAATGGGCTTAATTGGCAGTGAGGAGAAGAAACAAAAACTGGCCACAACCTAATGCATAAGAAAGTGGGGATTTATTTGAGGAATACGCTTAAACTTGCAGCAGCTTTAAGTTTCCTAAACAAATTATACAATGTCTCCTCACAGCATATGATAGTCAGAGGATAAAGGGTCTTGGATAGGGAAAATTTTCTCTGCTTTCGTAGATATAAAGAACAAAATACTGTTGCCCTCGGTATGGTCGCATTCTCCTTTCGATTTATGGAAGTGGGTTGACCTCGTATTCGCAACTTAGTCTTGTTGTCAGGGCGACTTAGTTGGACTCATCTTGTCCGAAGTTGTCTGCCATAGTAGTTATCATAATTCCCTGCATCAGACCGGGGACTTGGTACATTCTCAGACGTTTCGCCGGCAACCTATTCTTGCCATTCTCATCATCAAGCTACAACTTTTCGATAAGATAAGACACCCTATTTATAAGCGTGTATAGTCTCACTTACCTGACATAGACAACAGCACATGCACCTAATCACCATCGACTATTGTTACTATGGGTAGTGACAGTTTTCATGACA